GCTAATCTCTTGTTAAGCCTATGGTATGATTCTTAAATTTCATATATTTTTCAGTTGTAGAATTTCTGTTCTAGGACTTTGGTTCATTTTTATAGTTTTAATAGTTTCCATTTTTATAGTTTCCATTTCTCTGTTAGATTCTCTACTGGTCCCTTGTGTTCAGTTTGTCTTTTAAATCTTGAACATATTTATAATAGTGAATTCCATCACTCCTGTCATTCTTTTTTCTGTTTCTATTGAGCTGTTTTTCTAGTGGTTATAGGTCACATTTTACTCCTTTTTCACATGCTTGGTCAGTCTTGGTCTATGCTGGACATTATTGATGCTTTGTTGCATTTCTAGGTATCGTTGGCTTATTTTAAACAATGTTGAATTTTGTTCTGAAATAGAATTAATTTACTTGTGGATCATCTTGAGTCTTTCAAGACTTGGTTTTAAGCTTTATTAAGGCAAGGTTATTAGAGTAGCCTTTACATTAGGCTAGATTAGTCCAACTTCTAAAACACTTTCTACGACTTCTACCAAATTCCTAAGTTGTTCAACAAGGTTTCCTTTGTTCCTATAGTTTCACTTTATTCCTTTTTTAGGTTTATTTTTAATATTATGTTTTCTCCTTTATTATTTCTAGTTGTACTATTTTTTAAGAGATTACCCTATATTATAATATTAAATTTGATTTACTACAGTCTATTTAAACTTTATTCTTTGAGCACTTCTCAAACAATACAAGTTTTAATGTAACATTTTAATGCTATTTATTATCTTTTGCCCTTAGTTCTTTAGTTGTCAAATATTTTACTTTTGCATATGTTAAAATGCCACAAGACATAGTCATCCTAATTACCCACTATTTCCCCAGTGTGGTACTACTTCTTTTTTGCAGTTCTGTGCTTTCATCAGGGATTTTCCTTTTGAACCTAAACTTACTCATTTAGCAGTACTTGTAGTTCAGGTCTTTTTTTAACTAGTTTTCTCAGCATTTTGTCTGAAATGTCTGTTTCATCTAAATTTCCAAGGAATTCTGGATGCAGAATTCTGCATTATTGTGTATTTTGTTTGTTTTATCTCTTATATGCCATTCCATTGTTTTTCAGCGTCCATAAATGTTGGTGAAAAATTAGCAAACAGTTTTATTATTGCTTTGCTGAAGGCATTGCCTTCCCCCTGCTACCCCTGCCCTGCCCCACTGGCTGCTTTTTATCTTTGCTTTTCAGCAGTTTTGACTGTGATTTCCCTAGGTGTGGATTTGAGGGGTTTGTGTGGGTATTTGTTACTGTTGTTGTTTTGTATTTATCCTGAGCATCTTTAATCTGTAGGTAAATGTCTTAATTGTTTATGAAATTATTAGCCATTATATCTTCAGATATAGCTTCTTTCTCTTTTTTTCCTTGTCTTTTTTGATTCTAATTACCTGTATGTTAGATCTTTTTACTGTATTCTATTTGTTTCTTAAAATCTTTTGTTTGTATCTCCCCCCCCACCCCCCTAGTCTTTAGTTTTGTTATTTTTTATTGGTCTGTCTTTGAGTCAGTATTCCAGTCTTCTGCTATTTCTATTATGCTATTAAACACATCTAGTGATTTCTTAATTTCAGATACTGTATTTCTTAGTTCTAGAATGTTCAGTAGATTCCAGCTTTCTGCAAAAATACATGTATTTGTCCATATTTTAGAACTGATGCCCTATTTTCTTGAACATATTAATCAGTTATTTTAATATCTGTGACTTATAATTATATCTGAATTCTTTACAGAAGATTTTTATTGGCTTTTGCCTTGTAATTTTGAGTGTGTGTGTGTTAGTCATAATTTTTTGACTTATGCCATATGTGAATAAAATATTATAGAGGCTCTAGATTTGGATTTGATGATGTTATCTTTAAACTAGATTGTGTTTTCCTGAGGAGGCAAGTAGGATCTGGCAGATACCTTTCATCCTGTAGAATCTTGGTTTTAGGCTTTGTTAGAACTGTTCTGTTTCAGATTTGTCCTTATTCTAAGGCCAATTTACTTAGAGTCTTGGCCTTTCTTTTTTCTCATCTTAAATCCTGATGTATTTAATAGACCCTTCCCCAATGGCAGAGCTTATACTCCAATATGTGTCTCCTCAGCACCACACAGCTCATTTGCCTCATTTCTGCTTTTTTCTGCCATTTCTTTTGGTGATTGGAAGGCATCTTAACTTATGCATGTGCAGGTGATGGATCAGCCTTTGAGGGGAGTTTGCATGTAGATATATGGATGGGATCCTTCTCCACAATTCCCTCTGTTTTGCTTCTCAAATCCCATCCACTTTGACAACCCTGAACTCCTACCTTTATTTCCTCATAGGTCTGCCACTTGAGTTCCATTTTCCTGTGCTATAATTTGGAAAATGCCCTCAGTAAAAAAGCCAGGATGTCAGTTGTGCCCATTCTTTCCCTTGAGGAATGTAACCTGTGAGACCTGTCTGCATTGGTCCCTCTCCTCACACAGAGGAACTGTTACCACTCATAGGGTTGAAGGGAGGAGATTACTAGAAACTTGAAGGTCAGGATCATAAAGAAAGGGGCTACTTTGAGAGGAGTATGACCTTTGGTCAAGTGATGCAGCATTCTGTGGCCAGATACTTCATCCAGCTCTTACCAGGAGTTTGACCAAAGTGGAAGGCAGGAGGCACATTAATGTTGTTCATTCATATAAGTCAGCTTAACAGGGTGGAAAAGGATGTCAGGTTGTCAAGGGGAAAATAAAAGATATCTAGCACAGTTCACCTCTTTGTTCCTTAACATGTCCTCTCTTTCTTCATTTGGGAGAAAAGTTTGTATCCCAAGCAAGGAATTTTGGTATCATTGTGAGGTAATGTCAGTTCAGCAGTAGTTTCCTGAAACTTAAAACATTAGGCACACCACCAGTATTTTTCACATAAAGTAAGACTGTGTGAAGTCCCATTTGACATAGTGGGAGCAAGAATATATATAACTACTTGGGTCTGTTCAATTGGCAAGGAAGTTGGTAGTCATGAAAGTTCATAGTCATGAAAGTTGGTGATCATAACTGCCTTATTTCAGTATTCATTGCACATTCCACTTTATCATTTGCCCTTACTTTGGCTGGGTGGAATTCTTTGCCTGGTGGCAGACTCCTGATCTCAATTTTGTGGTATCTGAGTTTTTGGGATTCTTAACACTTTGAGAATTGATGCAGTTTTCCATTGATCAATACAAGTGGAGAGAGCTAAGAGATGTCCTGCTGAATTTCCCAGGTTCCAAATACAGTGTTACCAATTGTGCAGCAGTTGCCTCTGTTCTATAGCAGGATCGCAGTTTCCCTTTGTCATCAAAATCAGTTAACTCTGCCACTACAATAGTCTTTTATATACCTGTTGGTTCAGCTGCATGAAAAGCCCCCAGATGCCCAAAAGGTGTCTCAGCTTCCATTTAATCAGTTTTCTGGTAGAAGTCAATGTTCCTGGTAGAAACATGCCTCATTGAGCATTAGGACCTTAAAATTGACCAAGCTAATGTTTCATTGGTAGGAGGTTAAAATTTTTTTCAAGTGAGTCATTTAGTATAATAATAATAAGATGGAATGCTTTTGTTTATACTTCTTGATTCCCAGACCTGTGCACTCTGGCTATGGGGAAGACTGTACCATATATTGGCTGCTGGTTTAGCACAGCGATGTTGAGATCTTAACTCCCATGTAAGGCATGGAGGCTGTAAAAGATAATAGAGGTGTGTTCTGAGGAAAAATATCCTCAGTTTGTGAGTCATTGGAAGGTTTTTGAGTAAAGGTGTGATTTTTCCTCAGAAGGGATACTGTTAAAGAAAAGAAGTTGTCTGTCAACAGGAAAGACAGATGTTCAAGGTTCTCAGCCTCTATGTCTGGCAGAATATCCACATCCCATATCGCAGAGCCCCACTCCTTCCCCACCCTTAGTATGAGAGACCTGGAATGCTAAAGCTTTTAATTGGTACTACATCTTTGCAGACTTACATCAGACTCTTGGATTTTTCCTTTGCCATATATGTTCTATGACTACAAGAGATAAGGAACTGCTTCAGAACTACCAATGAAGACTTCTGGTTGCCCATGCATGTTTTTAATTGTATATTTATAACTTTAATTCTTTCCCTTCATTCTCTATCTTAGGCCATCAAAAGAATACAGATGATTATCACAATTTTTATAACTACTATTGCTGAAGCAATTAAATGTCACAGTCATTTCATAACATTTTGCTCTACATCTGCACCTTATCCTATGCTGCCATTGATGATAACTTGAATAATCAGGATGCTACTACATCCTATAGATTTTTCATAGTCCTAATTTTGCTGTGCTCCTTGAATATATGAAAAACCTGGTCCCAGAAATCTGTTTTGAGGATCTATTTCTTAGGTACAATTACTGTGTCTGAGTCAAAACAGATGGCATACTCAGACTAATTTAAGGAGAATCTAATAAAGAGACAATTTACAAAGCTATGGTCAGGGTACAGGAAAACTGCAAGAGACAGTTCAGTACCCCAGAGCTGGTAATAGTACAGGTGTTACCATCTTTAAAGGGTGGAGTGGAAAGAAAGGTTAGCAGAACCCAGAAGGAAAAAGTCTCAAGAGAGCCACCTTGAGAGAAACTGGGTTCTTTGGTCAAGAGGCACAGCCATCCAGTGGCTACTCCATAGAGAGAAAGGAATCTCTTCTGTCCCTCAGACCTCCTACCGGAGTCACCCAGTGGCAGGACCCAATGGAAAGCCAGAGGGTAGGGGAAAGCTTTGGTATAGGTTATACAAGTGTGTGTCCTGAAGGCAGAGAGCAAGGTATAAGATTTTGAAGAATGGAGGAGAAACACACCAATTATATGAAGGTGATTTCAAGAGTGTTTTTGTGCTGGCATCTTGTTTAAGGCATGACCTGGAGAAGGAAACCAGTATAATTTGATGGGATTTTCTCAGACTAGAATTAAGAATCTAATCAATTCATGAAAGGAGAAAAAAGCAAGAGCTTTGAGAAGCCCATTTCCCCAATGGGGAAGGGGTACTTTTTTAAGCATCTTAACCATCTTGTGAAAAGTTTACATGAGTATTTCAGAAATATTTTAGTGCTTACTCTGTGCTATTCGCAGAATAACAAATATCTGGGCTTGTTTTTATTCATCAGCTTTATTAAATAATTTTATTAACTGACCTACATAGACATGATATTTAACAGTTCAATATAAAAATAAATACTTTAGGATAAATAATTTAAATGAATTTTTAGAGCCCCTAGGGCTTACAAAAAGAATCTTAAAAGATCCATATTTATCATCTGAGGAGTAAGAATAATAGTTACAAAGATAGAAAACCATACATCAAAAAATAAATATAAATTTTAAATACTCAAATAAATAGCCTGATAACATTTGAAATGGGAAGCACTTAATCATCAAGTCAGTGTTGAGTAGATACTTTGACAAAAGGTAATCCATTTGTTCAGAAATTCTACAACAGTTACTGTCTCATCATCATATTCACATGTGAATCCTGTTTCAGATCCCTGTAAAAAAGAAAACATTTGAAATTTTGTTTTAGTTCAGGGCAGTTTACCTTATATATAATTATTCTCAATAGTGTACAATTCAAAAAAACAGTCTTAGACAAATACTTCATTAAATGCTGCTAGTAAAATTAAAGTTGCTAAACCTCTTTTTCTCTGGGAATATATCTGATTTATGTCTATATATAGTTACATGTATGTAATGATAAGCTCATTATACTTTATTCATTATTAACTTTTTAAGTCTCCTATGTTTCTGCTTGAGTGAACCTCATATTTTCCCCAAAGCAAGATAGAAACAACCAGAGTAAGTTAGGATAAGCTTTTGTTTGGGAGGAAATTTGTATGCAAAACATTTTCGTAAATACTCATCCCCACTCCCACCCCACTTCAGTATCAATGCAGTTAAGTTTCCCAACTTTTAAAGATCTAAACACTAGAAATTCTGTAGACTGGCTTTTTAGAAATTCACCTCCTCTGCTGATAGGGACTATTTCAACTCTGCCTCTAGTTGACAAGCTAAGAAGAAAATATTTTGATATATAGCAAGATAAAAAGAGAGGAAATTTTCACATTTGAAGTAATTCCTATCCAGAAAACATAAACTAAGTGAGATAAAGTATTCCCTTTAAATAAACTACTGCAGTGTTTTATACACTTTTACATATAATCATTTAAATACCATAATCTCTTGAGGGGTTAGATTATTTTTTTTTAAGTATCTGGCTTCTGAAACACTTTCTGATTTTTATGTAATTTTTTCCTAATTTTGCATCTAGAATGTAGAATGAGTTTTTCTGATGTTGGTCAAGAATTTTAGAGCATGGATGATAAATTGAGTCTTTCAATGACAAGATGACTTTGATCTCAATGTATTTTTTAAATTAAATGGAAAGCAACAGTCTATTAATAAAGAGACTTATTTGGAAGCAGTTATATACTTTTAGAAACTTGGTTCTACTGTAATTAAAATTATGCTGTTTATTTAGGATCCCTATTAATTCATGAACTTTGTACTTTGGCAGATGGATGAGAAAAGAGAGCCATGAATCTCTTACATCACCTGGGTTCCTTGTATATTTCATGCTTCCTATGCGTTTAAAAATACTTAAGGTCCTGAAAGTGAGTATTACCTCTAAATAAAAAGTTAATTATCTGGTCCATTGGCCATTTTACTGGTTGCCTTTTTTTTTTTTTTAAGACAACTCTCTTAGTTCTACCAAATGATAAGAAAAACCCATTTGAAAAGCCTTTCAGGTAATCAGAATTAGCTATTCTGGAAAATGAGCTGAAGGAATTAAAAAATATGTAATGAAACCTGTTTGCTTTCTGTGAAATTCAATTCAGTGTTTTATCCCACTCCCAGTTTTGTGTTAATGTGAGGGGTGACAGACTGAGGGATGGGGGCTTGTTCCTGAGTAGATGGTAGGTGGAAACCCTCTAGCTTACACTTTTTAAGCTCCACAATTTATCATCTAACATAAAAGTGACTTATGTTCACAGTGGACTTAAAATGCATGAGTACTTCACAATACCAAAAATGTTATACCACTTTAAAATGCCCTTCCATTTATGTTATTTTCAGGAGAGCAAATAATGTCTTACCTTCAGTTCCGAAACCGTTAAATTGATATTGTTCATTGAGTCCTTGATATTTGTCAGGTGAGAGTTTTTGCTTTGAGCTAAATTTAGCACTTCCTCCAAAGGTTTGAGTTCTTCCATGAGACACTGAAGGTGTTTCAATTCTGTAGCCTTGAATAATAATAAAAATAATTATCAGGTCAGTCTGCCCTGACAAAATGTCAGAATCAGAAATTAATCTCAAATTTATTTTATTGATAGTGGCAGTATATAGTTTTTACCATTGTTCCTATTTTCAACATTACTATAAAGATGGACCAATGTGGTTTACATTATAAGACTGAAAAACTAGAGATCAGCTGCCCATGGTTAGTATTAACTATTAGTTAACAAATAATGAGTCATTAATTTCAGCTTAATTTGACTTTGCAAAAAGTCAGCATTTCTGCACCCAATTGCAAATCACCAGTGTAGGTTGAATTCTTTTCCAGTCTGCATAGAAATTATTAGAACCAGAGTAGTCATAATGTAGAAGTATAGGATCACATTCTATGATTCTAATATTTAATAATCTAAGAGTTGAGAATCATAGACTGTTTAGGGACAGAGGGAGCTCTTGGATGCCATCTGTCACAATCCTGACATTTTATAAGTTAGGTAATTATAACTAGTTAGTAATGACTCAATATAGCAAATCACATATAACTGGATTTAAATTTTTTACTTTTCTATAATAAGTACAAGAAGGTACATTTTAAAAAATTATTTGCCAAATCAAATAAAAGCTTACAATATTTGTAGGATTTTTAGATGAACCTTCTGATTTAGTCATAAACACACACAAACATACACACTCATATATGTAAAATACTAATATTTCATAGTTCGTGGTACATTTTAATGTCCTAAATAAGCCCATTTAAGTCTCAGAGCCACCTTTTGAGATAGGTAATCCAGTGTGTTATCTCCATTTTACAAATAAGGAAACTAAATCTCAGAATTTAAGTGTCTTCCCCAAGGCCACATGAGTAGGTGGAGCCAGGATTAAATTTCAGTTCTTTATAGTATTAACATCACAACCTTTGACTTAAATGTTTTTATAGCTCTTTAAATTATTTTGCAACCACGGAATGGTTGTAAAATGAACAAATGAATGGAGTTTATCACATTACTTTTGGTTTCAAATAGATTTTGCATTGTCATTTGGAAACTTAGATTTCAGAGAATTCCAACACCCTCTAAATTATGCACATATTCTCATGTTATCTTTCTAATAGTTTTTAGAGGGAGAGGTAGGACTACACCACATACATCTTATGACATTTCCATCTAATGCCCTTTCAACCTGCATTAGTACTACAAGTTCTGCAAGTTCAGGGCTTAAGTTTTTGGCATGAACAACTTGGAGCTATTTCCCTCAAGAAACAGTGTAGTGTCTATGTTGCTGGAGGTAACATGTGACTGATGAAGCTAGGGAGCATCTCTTAAGTTACTTCCTTTTCATCTTTCAGAAGAGCCGTTTGAAGCATAATTTCCTTAAATTTATGAGAGGTGGATCAGTGAGATTGCATCTATGATCCTTAAATCCCACTTTTTTCTGGACCATTCACCCTAGGACAAGCTCTTTCTAGCACCAAAGTTTAGCCCATTATTTACTGACTGGCATGACTACTAGGAAACTTTACACTCCAAGTGTAGCTCTAGGAGCTTGGATGATGCTTATCTAACTATCTGAATCCCCAGATGACCAAATGAAGCTTTTAGTCTTGGAAAATAAGCCACATAGCATCAGAAGTCTTTAGGTCTATTGACAGAAAAGATGTCTAAGTCCAAACTGTAATTTATACTCTCCAGGAGGAATTTTGTCTTTACTATTACTAATAGCTAATGCTTATATGGTATTTACCATATGCCAAATGCTGTTCTGAGTACTTTACATGTACTCATTAAACCTCATCAGAACTGCATGAAGTATATATAGTTATCATTTACATAAGTAGATAAGAAACTGAGTCACAAAAAGAATAGGTAACTTGCCCAAGATCACAAAAGCTAGGATATGGCAGAGGTGAGATTTGAGTTCAAATAATCTGGCCCTATAATCTGTGCTATTGATTACTGCTATGCAACCTCTCAAAGATAAATCCTTAGGAATCTCCTAAAACAGTAAAGAATTCTTTTAAAGTGGGCTTCTGAAATCAATTTTGCTAATTTGGATGGTAAAGCAATATAATTGAATATCTCTTGAGTTTTACATTTTTAAATAGTAGGTCAACACAATCTTTTTAAAAACTGTCCCACTCCCTCTACCCCAAAACACACACAAGTACATATTAAAAAATATTAGCAAAGCCATTTTCAGAAGCCCCATTAGTAACTGGAGTTACTAATTCTTCTCCAGTCAATGTGCAGATTTTCATATTACTTTCAATTTTATTAAAATGTAAATTGAATGTTGAAAGTTGCACTTACCTTCTTGGGCATGTAAAATTTAAATGTGAGCATCCTGGAGAGTTTGAGGTTCTCATAGTTCTGAGAAAGCATAACAGATTGTTATTAAAAAACAAACTCCAGTTAGAAAAATTAAAATTAATAATTTTAGTAAGAAAGGGAATAAACTTACATTAACTTCCTTCAAAAGAAACTGTAAATCCAGCAACAGTGGCTCCAGTTGTTTCTTTGTGTCCTTCGTAGAGCTCAAAGTAGGTGCACTGTTTGCTACGAGTGCAAGAGTTAGTGCAATGCAAGACAAGAGTTGCAGCTTGTACATTGTGGCAGCAGTTGAGGTTACTGTGAGTAGTGATTAGAGAGGCTGATAGGAAGCTCTTGAACAAGTGAAGTAATTTATACTGTTAATTCTGGAAAAATATTATGGGGGTGTCAAAATGTTTTACATATTACACATATTTTCAAAGATTCTACCTGTGTGGCAAAAAGCATTACCTTTATTTTTCCTCTTCTGATGACTCTTTGGAATTTCTTTAAACCCCCATAAACTGACTGAATGGATGTAGGTGAAATCCCTCTTGGTTACATTAGCCCACACTTAGGTGGCAGTTCTAATTCATACAGCTAACGCCTTCTGTATGAAACAGTTTTTCCTCCCTCTTTCTTTAAGGGGGTGGGGATACAAAAGTGGCTCATGAAAAATTTCTCTTTGTCATAAAACTATGGGGAACATGTGGAGCACCATGTTGTGGTGGACAAGAGCAAAAGTAAATAGTTGCAAAGAATAGATTTTTAGATTTGTTGGTTAAACAGGAAGAATATTGGTTTCCTGTTTCAGGATGGCTTTACCTTTTTATCTCCACAATGACTGAGCTAATGCATACAACGTGATAGATTACTTCTTACACAATCAGCTAGAGAGGTATTAAGATTAGAATACATAAAATGCTCACTGAGCTTGAGGCACTGTTTTATGCTGTTTTAATTTTAATATGTTTCTTGTATCTATTTATTAAATCCCTTAGTGTCTGTTGTACTTTTTTCCCCCCAGGGTTTGGTGTTTAACAAATACTCAGAAAAGGATTTGCATATGAGGGTGCTACTAATGCTAGGATTTTTTTTTTTTGGTCCCTCTTTTTTTGAGGACAAGTTTAGTTTTGCTCCTTTATTATTTTTGCTGGGTATCCAGGGGATATAATGAGAGTTGGAATGTTGCCAGAACCAAAGATGCTATTTCTTCCTCTCAGTCTCTCAGGGGCACCTGAGCTATTCAGATCTTCCCCCACTTCATGTCCATTTCATTTCTTTCTCTCTCTTTATTAAACAGATTCCTTATTTTTTTTTAAAGGTAAGGCAGAAAATGAGCATAGCAATAGGGATTCCCATGTTTATTTGTTAATAGGAAACTTGCTAACTGGAATTTCTGGATACCATACATACATTCTTTAGGAGAAAGATAATATGGCCAGCTTGAAATGTACCAATACTGGACTAATTAGTGTGGCTGGGGATGAGAAAGGCAAGGTAACAAACAGTCCAGGAGCCCATAGTGAGCCATGGGACGCATATATGTGTGTGTGTGTGTCTTGTGGAGTGAGAGCAGTCCTCAGAGAAGGGGTATTTGGGCTCTTACAATACAGAGGCCAGAACTCAATCAGCAGAAGTTACTGAGAGGGGGATCTGTTACAACTCTTGGAGCACCTTTATGGAAAAATGAATAAAGTACTACAAAAAAAACTTGTGACAAATACTCAGAAAATGGTTTACATCCAAGGGTACTGATGTTAGTTTTGTAATAGACTATGTGGTTTATAGCCATGTATAAGCCAATCTTTAAGTTTCTAGTTGTTACATTTTCACTGTTTAATAGATTTAGATTTAGCCTCTAAAGCACCTGAGACACTGTGAGTATAAAAATATTTGTTATGAAATAACATCAGATCAGTATTTTTCAGTTATTAGATCAGGTCAGATACTAATGTATAGTACAATCAGTATAATGCACTAACTACTTGAATGACGGTATAGTTATATACTTCTACTTTAAACTTGGGAGAGTTGAGGAAATCCTTTCTCAAGGAGATTTCTAGTAACTTCTCTGTTTTTACTACCTTATTCATTTCTTGTCTGTTCTTTTAAACATACTTATCTATCACCTATGATGCTGTCAGGTATATAGGGAAAAAAAGGATAATTTACAGATACACAGTCTAGTTTAAGCCTTATCTGTGAAGTGATGGTATCATTTTATAGATTAGAAAAACTAAAGCTCAGAGGAGTTAAGTATTTTTTTTTCTAGGTTATTTATCCCTTAATGCCAGTTTAGGGCACAAAAAAGATTTGAAACCAGAATATTCTGACGCCAAAGCCCACACTCTCATCATTTGTATTCCTTCTCAAAGAACCTCATACGTAATAGAGAAGACATATAGACAACTGTAATCCCAGGTAAAAGGTGATTACTGCCTCAAGAAAGGTGGACATAAAGAATTTTAAAGAAGAAACGTGACTTTAAACTGAATTTTGACAACATGGTTAAAATGTAGATACATAAATTTAGAATTAAGAGGAGAGTGGGTAGGCAAGAAAGGTTACGCATTCTAAGGAACACTTAATTGTACTTAAAAAGAACAGAAAAAATGGTTCAATACTCTATGCATTAGGCAATATTCTGAAGAATATGAAGCATCTCCCTAAAATTTAAAAATAAGCGTTACAGTTCTTTAAGTGGAAAAAAAATGGAGATTAGAGGCAAATAATTTTTTCTTTAGAAAAGATGAGAGACAGGTTAGAGACAAATAATCATAATCTTTTTATTACTAAAAAAATGCAAAATGTCTCTCTACCTTTCAAATCAAAACCACAAATTTAGCATTGGGTCTAAGGGAAAGGCTATTTGGTAATGTGTGTCAACTTTATGATACTTGTTTCACTTCTCTATAAAGACTTCAGTGTCTCATCCCAGCATCATCAACTTAGGCCTTTACCCTTCCAGAATGGAAGAATTCACGCCCACACATTTTTCTGTGTGGGGGCTTTTCCAATGAGGCCTTTGATGTTCTCATAGTCTAGATATTTATATTTCTCCAGCTATTTCCATTAGAGAATGGGTCAGTATATGGCTACATTGACGGGACCCTATAGAAAACTGAATTCCTAGGCCCCTGGCTTATCCTCGTTATTGCATAAAGGCATCCTTACAGAAGTTGGCCCGATCATTTCATGAAGTGCTTGGGGAGAAAGCTGCCATATGCTGTGGCAAACTTTCACTTTTTAACGTGTCTGATGCACCAGCTGGCATCTCTAGTACAGTGCTGATAGAGTCAGTAGTAGGCTGCTTACTGCCACATGTGTCACACCCCTTACTTCCCCTTTGAAAATAAAATTTTAGTATTCATTAAGAAGCTATTTTAGTTGCTTAACATTGTCAGCATCTTAGACTCAGGAGTAACCCAAGTCCTTTAAAAAGGGAAGCCCCAGGCCCTGAAGGTGCCTCCTGAAGAGGGTGATCAGTCAGTTGCGTAATTGTCCATCCATCAAAGCTGACTTTCAAGGATTCTTCCTCCTGCAAAATTTCTTCTTTCTGAACCTCTTTTGCAATTAAAGTTGTAAAACTTTACTTTGGTCTGGAGCTTGATGCATGTATTAATGCGTCTCTTTTCAGTTTCTCTAAAGGCCTCTTGACTTTTCAAGATACAGTTCTTTTCCTTTGCAGTTAAGACATATTGTTGATAATCTCCGTATCACCTAGAGAGAATTTAGCTAGGAGCGCTGTGTTTCCTGTAAAAAATACAGATTTCCTCAGGCATAGTCTCATTCTTTGTCTTTATTAGACTGGTGGTCTTCCATAATGTGTTAACACTTCTGTAAATCTGTCTTTGGATCACAGTTAAGTCTCGTTTGTGTGTGCTCTTCTTCCATGAGGTAAATTTTAATGATGTTCATAACCTTTGGGGATGGAAGAATTATTTCCTTGGTACTTTTAATTTTGCAAAGCGTTTAAAAATTCATTATCTCATTGAGTCACATTTTGCTGATAAGAAATTGGATGTTTGTGAAGGTTAAGTGACTTGCCCAAGATCACATTTTTAAATTAGTTGTGAAAACCCCAAGCCTTCCTGTCCCTAACGATCTCATGTATTTCCCATGTTACATAGTGATGCCAAATTCTAGGCCCATTATGCTACATAGAAAAAACTGAATTAAATTGCTCCTATTTTCCATCTCACTTCACTCTCCCAGTAATAGCAGGTGAGTCAGGCGAGACATCATCCACCTCCACATAACCAGCACCTTGTCTGAGCAGCTTTAAGATTCTGAAGAACAGAGAGGAGCTGAATTCCTACAGTAGCTACAAAACTGGATTTTGCTCATGTTTTTTAATCTCTTTCTGGCGTCTTTTAAAAGCACTAGAGCTCTTGATGTTTCCTAACACTTCTCACATATCTAAAGTAAGAAGATTGTTGTAGCCAATGTGTATTTAAACTGCCTTGTATTTTTAGGAGTGCAGTGCTCTAAGGCTGACATGAGGATATTGCTCAAGGTAGTAGTCTGCATTTGACAACTAAGAGACAGCTCACTGCTTAAATGCAATGAGAAAGGGAGTATCTTCAAAACCTTTGGAAATCTTCTTGTGTAACTATAAGACCCCTATGACAAGTCACGCAGCAGTTACTAGAGGTAGAACATGATAATCTTCTGATGGTAATAATAACTGACATGCAAAACACTTCCAGTTCATAAAGCACTTTCACATCTGTTTATTCCATTTCACAGCAAAATAGCTAACAAAAGAAATTTTCTGGTTGTATATATTTTATGAAGACCTTTATTTCCTTCATACATTAAGAATTAAGCCTTGCAGCTTACAAATAAATACTAGCTTTCTCTTCTGCCAAGATAAATGCCTTCATTAAAATTATTGTGAAGGTAAAGTTGTTATTTACATTTATTCAAGCTTGTCTTCATCTGATTGCTCTTCCTACCTAACTTTGTTTCTAAGTTCTTTCCTCTTCTACAATAGCTTTGGATCTATCATTGACAGTCCATTGCTTCATCATTCCTAATCTTAAAAGGTAAACTGAGGCATACTGAAATTTTTTTTTAAGTTTATTTGAGCAAAACTCAATTCAAATCAGGCACCATCCAATCTAGCAGATAGAATGGAGCTCTGAAGAGCTGTACAAAATGAAAGATTTTCACAGTCAGAAGGGACTGGAGGTAAGGAAATTATACCGGGCAAAAAAGTAGGTTGCTTATCGCAAGGTTACTTTCCTATAGGGGACTGCAGAGCTTTATCAGGCAGATTACCTAACTGATGCTGATTAGGCAGTTCCTGATTGGAGTTCTGGGTAAGCCAAAACTGTAAGTAAGTCTCAGTTTGGTGATGTGAGGCTTAGCATAAGTAATTCCATTTTGGGCTCGTTTTTAACATTAATTTTTTTAATGATTATAGTCTGATTTTGTTGTTTAAAAATGACAACATCTAATTACAAAATAATGCATATTCATTACAGAAAATTTGGAAAATACAAAGAAACTGAAAAAAAATGAAAATCAACTGTAATCTTAGTAGATAGAGATAACTATTGTTATCACATACTGGTTTGTATGTCCATCCAATCTTTTTTGTGTGTGTGGTACAGTTTTACATGCTTTTGCCTCTTAATCATGTGTTATAAATATCTCATATATTAAGTGTTCTTCTAAAACATTATTTTTAGTAGTTGCATAGGATCTGTTGTGTGACTGTATTCTGTTACTGGGATTTACATTAATTCCAGTCATTCACAATTATGAATAGTGCTGTAATTCACTAAAATCTTTTACACATAAATATTTGTGCAAATTTCTGATAATCCTCTTAGGATAAAATTCTAGAGTTGGAATTACTGGGTCAAAGAATATGAATATTTTAAGGCTTCTGACACTTATTCAGAAAGTTCTTAACAACTTAGCACTCCTTAACAGTGATATAAGCCTGTATTTCTGTACCAATTACATAGTTTTCATATTAACAAATAGGGGTGGAGCAAGAGAGAGAAAGGAAAGGGAATGGTGAAATGTATGCCAACTGGTGATTATACACTCAGTTCCATATTTGAAATTGGGAATCAGGTAGACGTGAGCACCAGTGCTCTCTGTCACTCGCTGGCTGTGTGACCTTGTACAAACTACTTATCCTCCCTAAGCCTGTTTTTTCATTTCTAAAATGACAATATGGACCTAACTGGACTCTTGTGAATGACAAATAAAATAGCATAAATGAAAGCATACAATCCTAATCTGTTAACTTTGATTTGAATAAATAATTTCACGACTTGTTTCTGATACGCTACATCCTCTCCCTTTACCACTGAGTTTTTTTTTTTTAATGATGGCATTTATTTTGCAAAAAATGTTTTATGTCATCCACGTTTACCAATCTGCCTAATATGAGGGTTGAAAAAATGAACAAGTGGAAAATTTCACCATGCCAGCATTGCCCATGTTAAACTTAGGTAAAATCTAATTAACCAAATAACTTTTAATCATTCTATAAAGTTTCTAGAGATAAGGTATAACAGATATTATTCCATAATATGTCAGTCTATCTAAGAAGATTTCTATCCATCATAGAGTAGGAAAAGTTATTTTCCTCTATTCTTCTCGGTGCTCTGCTGAGACACCCACCCCCACCCCACCATGTAATAAAAGACAGATTAATGGGAGAAAAAATAAACAATTTTAAGTATATACATGTGTACCTATAAGAGCCCTTAAAATTTT